AGGTCCTGGGTTCAATCACCAGAACCACAAAAAGCAGTTTCAACAACCCGAGGCAAAAGAAATGATCAAAGATGTGGTAATAAAAACTGGCAAGAGGCATTTAGGAGTCAAAATGATCATCAAGTACTTTCTCTAAACTACACACAAAATGAAAAAGTAACAAGTTATGAATAAAAATTCCAGTAATCTGCATGTGCTTACAACTGCTTGGGACATTTTATTTGTTTTTGGTTTTTCTTTTTGGTTTTTTTTCCGGTACCAGGAAGTGAACTCATGACCTCCCACTTGCCAGGCAGGCGCTGTGCCGCTGAGCTAACTCCCCAGCCCCAAGCTTGGGACATTTTAAATATTTAGTTGGTACCTTAAAGGTATAAACTTGATACCTGAAGGATATAAACTGTTGTTTGTGAGGGTAAATATCGGCTACACCAGAGAGTAGAAGACCTTAAATAGGTTCTCTGGAAGAAGTGATTTAACTTCTATCAGATACAGGGCTAGTACCATTCCAAACATATTCTATACTGTTTAACAAAAAAATGGTGAATGCATGTACTCTCAAGCTGGACTATTTGAGTTTCAATTCCTGCTTCAGTATTTAGTACCTTTAAAGTTATTTCCTCACGATGGGCAAATACCTAGCCTACTCAATTTCCTCTTCCATACAATCAGGAAACTAATGATATTATTTCGTAAGAATGTTGTGAGGATTCAGTGAGTTAAACCATGTCAAACTGTATTCCCATTGCTGGGACAAAACATCTGACACACCCACAACTCATGGAGGAGAAGTGTGTTTTGGCTCAGTTTCAGAGGGTTCAGTCCATGTTTGGCTAGCTCCAAGCCAGAAGGGGCACAGAAGAAAGGCACCACAGAACAAGGCCACACAACTCATGGCAGCCCAGAAACAGAGTCGGGGAAAAATGCCAGCAGTAGATCCACACTCCGAAGGCACACTCCCAGTGACTCGTGTCCAAACAACCCCCACCTCCTAGCAGCATATACAGCTACGAACAACAGTAGATGAATCCAGTGATAAGCACACATCCCAAGATCTAAGCATTGCCTCAAGAATCTCTACATCCAGTCAAACCAACAGTTAAGATTAACTGGCCAACAACTATTCAGATCTATACCTAGTGCAAAGTAAGTGAGTACTTCATAATATTTATAGTTTATCTCTTCTTATTTTCACAATAATCTAATGGGGAAGGTCTCATCGTTATTCCCACTTCACTGACAATAACATTTTGGCTTAAAGAGATTAAGCAACACGGACAAAGTGCTTTGGCTCCATCAGGGTAAACATGACTCCAAACCCAACCTCTTCATCATTTCCTGTAGTGCTTCATGAAGGCCAAGAATATTAAGCTTTAGCAAACAGGCACTGGAAAGCCAGTAAAGGTTTCTAAATGGGGAATATGAATTATTAAAGCAATGCTTTATTTAAGATAACTGGCAATGGGAAGAAGAACAAACTAGAACAGCATGGGCTGCACACAGGGAGAGAAGAGAGAGGCCTATGAAAAGGTACTGGCAGGAGGTGATCAGGCCTAAACTAGGGACGATGGCCCTGAAAACATAAAGAACATTAAGAGTAAAAGGCACAACAAAGAAGTGTTCGATGGCTGGGTGCCTCCTGATGAATGGGTAGTGACAATAAGGACAACTAAATCATGGTCAGGTATACCTGGTTTTAAAGGAGAAGATGGCCAATAGAGAGGAATACTGAGAGAACTGGCCTATTTTGGTTTGTTCTGAGAAATTACATAATTGTGTCAGTCTATCAATAAAAGATCACAGTACTACTCAAGAGTCAGCAATACTGAGCCCACAGGTTGAATCAAAGGGAGTAAGTTGAAACACACATATGCAGATTCTTGACTGAGATATGTAACTATTTACTACATGTGAAATTTCTAAGTAAGCTTAGAAAAAATTCCACATTTCATCTTTTCTTAAGTTTGGACGGGTACACAGCCCTCCAAATAAAGCAAATTTCATTAACATGGCATAGAAGAACAAAGTGCAGACCACATGAGAAAATCAAAATTTCACTGTGAAATTCTTTCTGAACCAATCAAATGGTTCAGTCCTCACAAAGAACAGGCTATTGAATTCGGTCAGGATAACAGTTATATTCAGAAGTTCCACTAAAGTCTCGGAATTCTATCATTCAACTTACTGTCTCTCTCACTTGCTAAGTAAGAATGGCTAGAATTTGTTTTTCCACTCTCAAAAGTAAAATAAGCGCCAAGTGTTCACCTGTATTCACCTTCTTACACTGTCATACTGAAAGGGTGATGTGGCCAACAGCCCACGGCTAGCAGACTGCTTTGAACCCAGGCTCAGATGAGTTCTAGTGACTGATGGAGCCTGTGTGAAATGCATGCAGGCAGCTGTTCTAAACTACTGTTTGTTTGACTGTGTAAATCCTTTAATAGTACGTGATTTTAGGGATACTTTGTAAGATTCTTCGCAAGTTGGTTTTTTTTTTTTTTTTTTTTTGGTCTTTTTGAGCCAGGGTCTCACTATGCAGTTCAGGCTGGTCTTGAACTTACTTTGTAGCTTTGTAGCCCAGATTGGCCTCAAACTGGCAATGATCCTCCTGCCTCAGCCTCCTGAGTTCCAGGATTACCAGCGTGTTTCACCACGCCCAGCTCTTCCCAGGTTTTAACAAGATGATCTTTCAAGGAGTTTTAGAACCACTAAAAGCTACAAATATCTAAGCATCATGTGGGGATAGAATAACTGACTAACACATTAATTTCACCTCACCACATATCCTCTTCTACATTCAAACTGTTGTTTCATTGGAGATATTAGCCTGTGTTAAAATAATGAATAAAACTGTTATTACCTGAACCTAAAAGGGAACAGGTAGATTATCAAAGTAAACTACAAGCATTTAATAAGCACGCATATATTCCACGCTGTTATGGTTTGTGTCTGGGTGTCCCCCAAAGCCTCATGCGGCCATGGGGCAGGCTTTTAGAGTTTGATTGACTATGGGTGTGAGAGCTACACCCACCCTGGGGTGGACAGTTTGCGTAAGTAAGGGAGAGGAAGAGGCTGCTTGCCGCCATTCCTCCCTTTTAGTGCTTGTTGCTTTTGCTGTGTTCTGCCGCCAGGAGCTGTAGCCCTCTGCCATGTGCCACTCTGCCTTGTAACCTGCCAAGTATGGACTAAAACCTCCACAAACTGTAAGCGAAATAAATCTTTCCTTCCTTAATTTTGGGCATCAGGTATTTTGTTCCAGCAACGAGAGAAAAGTAACCAAGACACACGCATGACATGAAACAGTGTCTCAGTTCAACTGAAACAAGGCAAGGCAGCCAGCCTTCTCCTACCCACCAGCCCTGTCCTCAATACTGTGCTGTCAGAAAACACGCGGTCAATCTGCAGCACAAAAGGAAAAGATAACCGAGGAACACACAGGCAAGCTAAAGAAGGTTACCTACTCACAATTTCAGAAATATAATCTAGGGGCTGGGGATTTAGCTCGGCGGCAAAAGCACCTGCCTGGCAAGCGCAAGGTGGTGAGTTCAGTTCCCGGTACCGGAGAAAAACAAAACAAAACAAAACAAAACAAAAAAAGAAATATAATCTAGGATACTTTCACTATGCAAATTTAAACTTTGAAATTTTTATAAAATGAATTTGTTAGGAAGGCTTGTTTTAAGGCACCTATCTGTTGAATCAAAAAATGTTTATAGCTGGGCACTATGATTCTTTTTCTATTTCAACATTCTAGACCAATGCTATGTTTTGTGTGTGAAATTCCCCGAGTGCTTAGTCCAAGCTGTGGACCTGAAGATATGGAGGGGGCTTCTTAATCACCTAGCCCAAATCTCCAGCAAACCAAGCAACTTCCTTGACATATTACTCTGCAGAATTGTCTGTGATAATCAACCATTACACCATAAGGTTATCTAGACTATGTCATTATCTGCAAATTTCCTAATTGAGGAGTTACAGGAAATAAATAGAACGCAGACATATATTTCATGCACAAAACTGAATCTGGTGAACATCGCTAGTTAGATTTCCCATCTATGCCTATTTTCATTCTATCAATACCTACTCAAGCATCTCTGTTAAGCCAGTCCTTAAGTGAGGCTTTTCTTCCAGTAAGGCAAGTGAACAAAGTACGTATCTAACACAATGCTCCCTATATACCTCAATTCATGTGGATGTATTTCAGTCCAATTGATGGAAGTGAATGCAGAGAGCCTTGTTCTCTCCAGCCACTCCTCTCATGATTCCAGGTTTGTTCCCCTAATTTCACTGAGGTATAAGTAACAATAAAAACTGAATACATTTACTGTGTAATATGTGATGTGATATATTTACACATTATATAGTGACTATTGTAAATAAATAACTTTAAGTTCTCTTGTGTATTATGAGAATATATATGATTTCTACAAATTTCAAGTATACAATAGAGGAGTTTTTTTGTTGTAGTAGTTGTTGTTGTTTGAGACAGGGTCTCATTATGTAGTCTCACTCCTCCTGCCTCAGCCTCTCAAGTGTTGGGATTATAGGTCTGTGTCACATCTGGCTTTACAATACAGTATTATTAGTACAGTCACCATTCTGTCAATTAGATTCCCTAAATTAATTCCCTTTAAAACTGGACCTTTAAGTAATTCCAAGCATTTTTGATTTTCACTCCATCCAAGGATACTAAGAAAATAATTATATTGTATTCATTTACTATTTCTAAGGAATGAAGAGGGATGCTTTATAGTAAGTATACGGATACAACAATTTCTGATTATACTACATCACTTACCTTAAAAGAGACAAGTATGCTACAAGAGATGTGTGCCTGACATTCATATTATCTGTTTCCTTCACAATAGGGCATGATAACCATTAAATAAGTATAAAGCTGATTTATTAACAGTTCAACATGTTATTTATTCACATACTAAAAATACAAGTCCACACAAAAGGCCAGCCAATTGGGGGTGAGCAGGCTGCCTCAGAAGCCTCACCTGTCGAATGATACTCTTCACACAACGTACTGGGAGACCCTGGTAATTTGACTTGATTATCCATTTCAGGAGATGGTGGCCAAGCACTTCAAAGACCATGCATACGTCTGGGACAGGGTTAAGGACTGTTTGTGGATGCATTTCTAGGAATAAGGCAGGTACTAAAAGCAGCGTCATGTGGCACTTGCAAAACATTTATTTCTTTGTAAAATACCGTATCAGTACTATCACTAATATCCAAAGTAGTCACTTGCTGTGACTCACCTAAATAGAAAGAACTGATTTTTTTTTTTTTTACTAAGTACTCCTATACATTATTTTGAAAATCACTTCAGGAAATATCTAATGACCCCCACTGTGGAGACAAGGGAAGTCTGCCTCAGAGAGTCTAATAGTAGCCAAGGCAGATCCCAGCCCATACAGAGCTACACTTCCACCCCTCTGAACCTGAGCAGGCACTCTGTAATAATGAAAACTCAGGAATCTGGAATTCTAAAACATTTTTTAAATCATGGAAAAAGGATTGATATACAAAAAGCTGTTCATACTTAATGCATATACCTTGACATATTTGGAGATCAGCATATACCTACGAGAACATCACCAGTATCAAGGTGGCTGAGGCATTCAAAAGACCTAGAGTCACATCTCAGAGGTTATGTGATGCTCCATGCTCAAAGGACGACCTCAGGGCTTCAGCATGGACATATGCACAGAATATTTTGGAATTTACAGACATTATCTTTCCTCTCCATTTGCGCTCTCAGCTATAAGCTATATGTTTTGGGATGCTTTCTCTCTCTCTCATTTGCCCTTTGGGGTGACCCTTTGTCAACGCCTCAGGCAGAAGAAGGGAAAGGCAGAAACTCCTTACCACTACCTCCTGATCACTAGCTCCTGGGTCCCTCAAAACCAATTAAGAGGAAAGATTTCAACATACAGGTAAGCAAGGCATAGAGAATGCTAATTAACTGATTTTTTAAAAGAAAGCTCCCCATAATACATCATAATTAAAATCCCAGATGTTCAACGAAAGACAGAATCTTAAAAGCTGTCTGAAAAAGGTCATTTTGTGATTTAGAAAATGAGCAAGTGGATATGACATCAACATATTATTGTTAATTTATGGGTATTTTTTCTAATTACTCTAATACAATCCAGCTACTTAGCAGACGGGGACACAAAAATTACAGATTTGAGATCAGCTTGCAATCCTGTCTCAAAAAATAAAAAAGGCAGGAACACTGCTCAGTGGAAGAGGGTACCTGGGCTCGATTCCTAGAACCACTAAAATAAAAATCTGTATTTTTTTCAAAGATGCATATTGACATCGATACAGGTAGAAGAATATGACATCTAGAATTTGTTTTACAGTAATTCAGCAACTTAGAAAGAATAAAGAAGTATAGCCAGACCATAATAATTATTCAATTGTGGTGACAAATTTATAGAAAATTATGGTACTATACTACTTTTACATTATATTTGAAACTTTTTATAATGAAAGTTTTAACAGAAAAACAATGGAGATCTCTTCCATTTGCTAACTAGTGTAGAAAATAACATCACTTTACTTTTACTAGGCTTGGGCTAGGGATGGAACTCAGTGGTAGAGTGCTTGTCTAGCATGCACAAGGCCGAGTCCAATCCCCAGTGCCACCAAAAAAAAAAAAAAAAAAAAAAAGACCACTACTTTTACCAGGCTTTTTCAAAGTGAACAAAGTAAAATAAAACCAGGAGGCAAGTAATGTGGCTCAGTGTAAAAGCACCTGCCTAGAATGCTTGAAGGCCTGGGTTCCATCTCCAGCAGTAAAGCGAGGCTACACACGCACATGTGCACAAGTGTGCACCAGTAAACAACACAGGACAGGGACTTGTACTTTAGTATTCACCTAGCATAAATGATCCTCTACAGGAACACTTACTTAAAAGACTCAGTTTTATTATCCTGGAAATAGAATGCAGAGTTATTAGGATGAGTCACTAATAATAGTACTTAAAAGTACAATTTGGGGAAGTTAGCATTAACAGAGGATTTTTCCTTTTGTTGAGTCAACAAATATGTTAGCCTCACATGCTTCGCAGCCATGTTGCCCTTGTGCACTCGTTTTAAAAAGTTTAAAGCACAGAGAGGTACTAGCAAACACTTCTACCTACACAGCACAAACAAACACCGTAATTACTGACAAAAGATCAATAGTTAATTCCACCCAAGAGGCTGGGGATTTAGCTCAGCGGCAAAAGCGCCTGCCTGGCAAGCGCAAGGTCATGAGTTCGGTTCCCGGTACCAGAGAAAAACCAAAAACAAACAAACAAAAAATAATTCCACCCAAAATCAAATGGGCCATTCTAGGTGCCCCATTTTATAAGACTTCACAATGATCCTAGAAAGTTTATGTAGAGAGGACACAGAAGTTTGCAGGAACTTTAAATAATCCTGTTTGTTTCTTAAAATAAAAAAAAAACAAACAATAAAAAGCACTGTAATTCAGCCATCAAGAAGGATACGTATTCCATTCATGCCCGAAATCTTGAAGTCATCAATGAGCTGGACCACCATGTCTTTGTTTGGGTCACTGGGGTCACTTTCTCGAACCTATGCAAAGAAAAATGAATACAAGATCAGAGAAATTTAAAATGTGAACTATTTTCCACTATACCAATGCACCTAGTGGTATTTTTTAAATAAAAGATTTAGCATTTGAACCTATAAAAATTCTTCTATGTTAGTATTACCCAAAAAGCCCTCTATAGGGGCTGGGGATTTAGCTCAGCAGCACAGCACCTGCCTGGCAAGCACAAGGTTGTGAGTTCAATTCCCGGTACCGGAAAAAAAACCAAAAATACAAAAACAAAAACAAAAAGCCCGCTATAACAATGGTTATTTGTTTTCCTTATATTAGTCACATTTTTTTTGTACTACTTACACATTTGAGCAATTTTATTTCATCCAAGGCTGTCTCTGTGTAATGCTGGGCACTTTTTACAACTTTCATTGCAACGAATCTTTTCCCCCTTAAAAAAAAAAAAGCATAGTTATTTATATCACTAGCCAAAGAAGAGATGTTATAATAAGGTCTATGCAATAAACAGAAACTTTTAATAAGTTTTCCTTTGAAATATTACTCTTCAAATATGGGGATCACAAATAGAGTGTCTATGGGACAAGACAATCTCTCTTTGTTGTTTTGATTTTATTCTAATTAAAGTAGATTATGAATGTGTCTGAGTTACCATAGAGAAAGGATAAGTGTTCTAACACTTGTTTCAGTTCATATATCACACCAAGTACACATGTTTATATGTACTGAGCAACAAGGCATTTATAATTATGGGTCATAGCTTCTAAATAATGTCAGAAAACACTTATTTGGAAAAAGCTACACATTACTGATTTTCATCTGAGTATTTTTCTGACATGAATTACTAAAAAAGTAATTATCCTTATGAAATGCAATTTCAAGGAATAAGATTCAGAAATAATGCCACAAGAGAGCTCACATTTTTAAATACCTATGCCAATGAACTTTAACTAAAAGGGGAAGAAAATTCAGCTGAGGTATCCTGTGCTAAGCAGCACTTTCTATGACACAACAAAGTCAGAATGCTTCTTGGCTACATATGCTTAGAAAGAGATGACGAACTGTGTCAGAATCGAGTGCAGAAATGACACTTACTGCATATCCCAGCACAGCCAGACAGTAGAGAAGTGCCCCCATCCTAGCTTTCTAATGACATGGTATCGACCATTGAAGAGGTCTCCAATTTTCACTGGATGATAGCCACCTAGAAAGACAGAGAGGAAAATAGTAATACATTTCATTTCCTTATCAATTCCTGATGTCATTAAAGAAAGCTCTAAAATAACAGAATTAGAGTAACATGTTTAAAATACATTTATTCAGGCTTACCTTTCATTAGGAGAAAAATATTCTATGAAATCCCACTTGGATTTTTGTTTAATAAATTTAAAATGGGCTGGGCATGGTGACGCATGCCTGTAATTCCAGTACTCAAGAGGATGAGGCAGGAGGACTACAGTAATTTAAAGGCCAGCCTGAACTACATAAGGAGACCCTGTCTCAAAAAACCAATCAATCAGTAAAACTTAACACATTCCTGCCAGCTTAAACTACCAGTGGTATATGCATGAGTGTCCTATCAGGTAATGTGTACCACTGGTGGTACAAATGTATCTAATAATCTTTTTTTTCTGTGTATCTAATAATTTTTACTGGTCTTTTTTACTAATTAATAAAAAGTCACCCAATGGGACAGTCATGCATGTACCAGTGGAGACATACATGTTACAGCCCTATCATGCACATGTTGAAAAGGCAGCAAACCATCTAGTACTTCGTAACAATAACCTGTGATTTTTATTTAAGTTGAGATGTGTATACATAACAGTGTATAAATGTACAAATATTTTCCCTTATGGTAAACTCAAATCTTTTTGCATTTTACAAGAAAACTCATGAAATTAAAGGATGTTTATGCTGTATAATTTTGTATACACTAGTAGTTTATGTAAAACCAGTTAGGAATTGTGTAAGATATATTTTAAGTTACCCTCCAACTGCCTGGCCTTGTCTTCTCATTACCTTCTTCCACCAGAAACTCCTGCCTGGAAACTCACTGTAGAAACGAAGAAATTGGTTGGGGAGAAGAGCAAGTACCACTGAGGCAGATTCTCAGGAGGTTAGGCTGCCTGCTGACATCTGGCATAAAAAGAGCTTTCATTCTGCATTTTTAAGCAGGCAACTTAAAATATAATTTTTCCAAAATACAAAAGAAATAATAAAAGGGCGCAGGATGTTAGCAATGGATAGAATATTACTTTTATTCTTAATATTTATATTTTATTCTAATCTATTCAAATTTTTCCAAAACAATGCTTTTCTACTTTGGAAACAAGTTTTTCCTTCTTTAAATTTAACATATGTTGCTTTTTAAAGATGTCCTCCTCCCTCCTTCTCCCTCTCTCATTTGATTTATTGAACCCTAGACTTTTGTGTATGCCAGACAGTGCTGACCTACATCCCTAGCCGTTATTTTTCATTTTTCTAACCTGCAGAATTCTTATAAATCACTCAAGAAAGACAGCGACGGTTCATGTCATATTGAGAGGATCAGAACAGGCACAGGAAGTTGTTTACACTACATCTTACAATGTACCTGTGCAACTCCTAGAGGGTGTGAGTCATACTTTAACTTACGTTGTGGTGGATTAATGAGGCAGGAATCGGACCAAATACCGAGTTTCTAAGGGTTTTTTGGTACTGGGAATTGAACTCAGGACCTTGCGCTTGCCAGGCAGGTGCTTTGTGCCACTGAGCTATATCCCCATCTCTGAGTTTCTAAGGTTTTTACTGTCCTATCATCACCACACTTGGGCTTCCTAGATTTTAATCTCAAGGTCTAACAATATTTTGGAATATAGATATTAATAATTATAGGGGCTGGGGATTTAGCTCAGCAGCAAAAGCGCCTGCCTGGCAAGCGCAAGGTCGTGAGCTCGGTTCCCGGTACCGGAGAAAAACCAAAAAAAAAAAAAAAAATAATAATAATAATAATAATAATTATAGAAAATTAGAAATAAAATATAGAAAGTTATTAAAACTTATTAACTGTATTTCTCTAAGTAACTAAAATAAATGGGCTTTGAGTTCCTCATATTTTTTTCCAGTACAGTTTGAAAACATTAAAATAAACACTGAAAAGAAGGAAAAGAAAGCTAACACTTTTGAGTTATGAGTTAGGAATACCATGGAATGTACTTTATCTTCAGATCTATGTTCTATGAAACAAAAGTAAACTTTAATATATTTCAGGTTTTCCATAGGAAAGCAGGAGAGAAAGAAAGAAGGTGGGAAGTACAAAGTTAAAGCTAACCACATTTCCTGACCCTACACCTAATATTTTAAAACACACTGTATGAACCTCAAGAGTTTAGGGTATTATACTGCATACTCCACACATATCTGCTTAGCAAACTCCTCCAGGGACCAGTTACACTTTACAAGACAAGTATTTACAAAATACTGATGGCTTCCCTACTTAACTCTTACAAAGGAGATGGCATTCTTTCTACACTGCTGCAGAGGCATCAAAAGTGCCTGGCCTCAGGGCTGGAAACTACATGTGCCTCCAAAGCCTGTGTTCTACTCACCATTAAGAAAAGCACTCCATTTTTTTGAGAACGGGAGTGTTGTGTCCTGGTGTTAATACAGAAAAAACTGGATGGCTTAAAAAATTAAAAGCTACGTGATACTTAAGTTTATATTACTGCTAAAATTAACATCTCTAAATTTTTAAAAATTTAGTCATGCATAAAGAGAAGAAACCTGTCATTAGTATATATTTCAGGTTCAAATTCTCAAAGAGCCAGAATGTGAGCAAAAACAGAAGAGCACCATCACCACTGTAATCACAGGAGAAATGTAGCAGTTTCTCTTCTCTACGGGCTTTGAAAGTTGAATAACAACAAATTACTAGTGGAGTCCAGTATCTCTGGAGCCTACAGGCAATTAAAACACTATCTAAAAATAGGCCAACTGTACAAGAGGAACACAGAAGTAACCTTTAAAAGCAGAAAACATTTAATACACTTTTAATTTTGAAAATGACATATATATATTCTATGCATTCTCAAACCCCATCTCCTACATTCCTACAGAACTTTCACCATCTTTCACTCCCCTTTCACAGAATGGTAACCTTGAACACTGGGCATCTCTACCTAACACTCACGCTGCCAGCAGAGGCTTATGTCTCCACACGGCAGGCTGACACCACCTAACCAACACCCAAGGAATGTGAGCCCTTAGAACTGAGGTAACTCCAGAGGTAACTCCTCCAATTCCCCGCATGCTGTCATGGCTACTGGTGGGCATGTCCTGACCACTCCACTATCTAGCACACAGAGGTCTAAAGTACAGTTACAGAAGGCACAAAGACTCAAATGTTTCTCTGTTCCTTTTTTAAAAATCTTTTTGAGACAGGGTCTTGCTATGCAGTTCAGGCTGGCCTTGAGCTCAGGGGCAGAGTGACAACTGGGCATGCTTAGGCTCTGGGGTCCATCTCCACAGGGGTACAGGGTGGGGGTGTGTGATGAAAGACTGAATGTTTTTCCCCTGTGACCAGAAACAAAGTACAGATGCTTGTTCTCCCCACTTTTACTCAATCACACTGGAAGCTCTGGGCAGTAGTATACTCACACAAAATTAATAAACAATAAGGCATCAATATGTGGTCATATTTCTGCACACTTTTGGAAGAGAAATATTGATGGCTTTTGCTCCAGGCTATCTTTCAAAGGTTTCTACAGCAAGCAACCTTGGAAAATAGAGACACTATCTTCCCCTGGAGAAGAAGGTAGGATGATTTGCCATGCAGGAAAAGTCTCTCTCCCAGAATGGTATCATTTCAGAGGACCCTTATGAAACACACCTAACTTGGAATTCCTCTTAGATGACAAAAACCCACTGTGCATACAGTACCACTTGGGCCTGCCTCCTCACCATGTTGATTAGATATGGGGGTAGGGGGTTGTTGAGGAGAACCACTAAGAACATGAAGCTCAAGCTCTACGCAGTGCTTTGGGTAATGAAGGCCTTTGTCTCTGACCAAGAAATCTCATAGCTTCCCCCAAATACCCATAAACTGGTGGCAAGTTAACTTGCTGACTTGCAAATAAGGTAAAACCTCAGAAATGTCTTGGTTTTTGATTATGTCTTTTGTTTTTTGTTTTGTTTTGTTTTGTTTTTGAGACAGGGTCTCGCTATGCAGTTCAGGCTGGCCTTGAGCTCATTTTGTAGCCCAGGCTGGTCTCGAACTCACAATGATCCTCCTGCCTCCGACTCCCAAATGCTAGGATTAGGTATGCCTGGCGATAAATCTATCTGTGACACCAGAAAAAAAAAATCTTTATTTCTCTTATAAAAACTATCAATCTTAGAACCACTGCATTTTCTTTCTTGCTTTGATGACTAAGAAATCATGCGACAAATTTGTGCCATTGTTTCAAAATGTGCAGATCTCTAATAAATCCTTATTGTTAACCTTAATCTCATGGTATTACAGTAAACTTTGGCTTCCAAGTTTAATTTATTCCAGAAACATGCCTGTAATTCATAGCACTGGTCTACCAAAGCCATTTTTCCCATAAAAAATAACAGCAATTCAAATGGCTTGTTCCATAACTCAAAACTATTCATACAAAAATGATTACAGTACTGTAATACAACACAAAAGAATAAATAAAATACAAAATATAGAGAAACATAAATTAACTTGCTCCTACCTTTGAAACCTTTGTGGCTGGTGTAAAGGAGATGAGAGGAGCGTTATTGTGTAGGATCTTTCAATATCACTAACAAAATCACTGCTGTCTAATTGGCTCAATGGAATCTTTTCCTTTTGATCAGGAATCTATCCAGTAACACTTGCTTTTGCCTCCTTTTGAGGATTTCACAGAATGTGACGTTGCATTGTCATTAAGCAGATTCATCTTATTTGGGTGGTGCTCTTCTAAAAATGTTGTACTATTTCCCACATTTTACACATCTCCCTTGAAATCTCATTTGAAGTGAGATTCCTGGGCCTTTTTCTCCTCCTCTTCTACAAATGAGATCTCCATAACGTCTTGCTGTTGGGAGACAATCACTCACATCCCGCAGCAAGAGAAAGAAGTAGTATTGGCTCACTTCAGCATCACATACCACTTGTACTGCAAGACACTGCTCCTTTATCATTTTAAAATTTACTGGAAATGTTTGCTCATC